TCAAAGATAGTAACAGCAAATCCTTATGTGAAGGCAGTCAATAACCTAACAATTAACCCAAATCTGTGAATTTTATGCTCTCAATCAAGCTTCAAAACTGCTTGAGAACAAAGGAGATAATATATACATGGATTCTAAACATACCTATGGGGTGGCACACACTTTTGGAAAAATCTGGCTAGAAAGGGGTTATATAAATATTGCAGAAAAGCAACTAGTCCATGGGGAAGTAATAAGTTCTAGAAAGCATCTTACTTCTAACAGAAAAGTGTGCAATTCATGCAAATGTCAAATTTTTTAACATATTAATTAACTTGAAAATTACAGACCTGTGAAATATTAATGTAAGTATATATTATATACATTTATAATATACATTTATATTATAAAAAGTATATATTATAAAAAGTCACATTCCTCAAAAATACTGATTAAATGACATTTTGCATTTTTGCAAATCTCTTTAATGCACAGATTAAAGAGAGATATGACCCAAATTCTCATCCCTGTTTCTACATCTTATCTATTGCTACAGTGTACATTTTATGGCTTTAGGAAGACACCACCACGGGGTTGAGTTGAAAGAGACATAGGGAGTAAGCCAGTCAACTAGCGTCCCAATATCATCCATCACAAAACCAAGATTCTGGGCAAGGATCACAAGGATCTTCTGGGATCACTAGAAAACCCTGTAAAAATGTAGCCTCACGCTAGTTATGTCAACAGCTTTTAAAATATATTTCACCATAACATGCAATAACTTCCTCATGTAAACTTCCATGGGAGTCTTCAAACAATAAATGAAATGAAAAGTTCACTTTTGACCATGAAATATTGAAGTACAAGTACATTAAGCAGCACAGCTGGCTGTGCACAGGCCTGTGCCTCTTGTCTTACCAGCATTTAAACCAATCAGTGCCCTGGACTCTGCTGCTTGCAGCCTCCCCTCCTATCTCTGCAATGATTACAATTTTAGGAACCACTTCTTGCCTATCTCCTGTTTCTAGGACCACTCAAAACCATTTCTGTGGTTCTCTCCTTATCTCTGGACAAGCATGAACACCCCAGATTCCTCAGAATCAACCCACTGAAACGATGGCTGCCTCAACTGTCTTAGTGTGTATTCCCATCCTACTTCGCTCTGGGTTTCTACTTCCACCATGGACACTTAGCTCTCATGGGCTGGGGCCTCTTCTTCCACGACCTGAGGAGATGCGTGCAGTCAATGAGTGTCTTTAGAAGACCCCAAGTCAGCATGGTAGCCATGCTCTTTTCCAGGCTATGCAGAAGGACATGTCAAGATGAGTGGGCCACAGTCACAGAGACCATGGAAGCCACTATTGCCTGGAGAAGACTCTGAACTAGGCCCTTTGGGATCTTCATCATGTCTTAGGTTCTGTCTGCATAGACCCGCATCTCTATGACTTCCCAGAAAAGCACTCCTGCACAAAAATAATGAATTTCTCTCTTTCTCTCATCTAATGCTAATTTTGGGGTAGGGGGTATTTTGGGAAAGGAGGCACTGAGGAAAAATGGGTGATAATCACAGAAGTATTCGATGATCTTGTGGAAGCAGATACAAGGTTATAAATAGTGGACAATTCCCAGCACTTACATCTTTGATTCAATAAATCAAAAGAGAAAGTCAATTCACAGCATCATTAAGAGGTCTTCAAAATTTCATGACAGAATTAACAGATACTATTCTGTGTGTGAAAGCCTCTTTGATATTCACGCATATAAACGGTCTTTGAAAAGTTCATGAAAAGGTGCTGCTGTAGTAGTGAGGCAAGCTAAGCTTCCAGCTTTAGTACTGGCATCCCATTTGGGCACTATTTTGACTCTTGGCTGCTCTAGTTAAGACACAGGTCTCTGTTTATGGCTTGGGAAAACAGTGGAGCCTGATCCTTGCACCCACATGGGAACTCCAAAGAGGCTCCTGGCTTCAAGGCTTCTGTGTCCATCTGGGGAATAAACCAGTGTATGGAAGATCTCTCCATCCTCCTCAGAAGGTAACTCTTTCTTTTCAACAAAAGTAAATAAAATTTACTTAAAAGTTCGTAAAAGATTCTTGCTATGAGAAAATTGTGCCTGAATTTCAATCTTTTTCCACCAAAATAAAAAATCTCTGAATTGTTTACTTTGGGAAGTACCGTTATATCTTTAATATGTTAAGCTCTTTTTCTTTTAGTAAATAATTTAAAGAAATGGGCACTTAAGAATCACTGGAAACTAGCCAGTTTTAAAAATTCTAACCAACACTGAGAGGTGTTAATTTAATAATATGGGCACTTGACAATTACTGGAGACTGGCTACTTTTTAAAAAATGTATCTTTAACAAGGTTGAGAGGTGCTGTTTTGTATCATTGAAGAGGCACACACTTCTCACTATCTTTTGAATGTTGGTGGAGGGGGAAAGAATAGCACTCTACACATACAGTTCCTCTACACAGTTGTGACATAAACAGATTCACTTTGTATTAATTTACATACATACAGTATGTAAACATGTTATCTTCATTCATTCAACACAAAAGGGAACCTTTCTAAATGTGTCAGGCACTATTTGTGGCACTTGAGATACAAAAAAAAAAAAAACACAAATCATCCATTGAATTGTGATACATATTAGGAAAGTTAAAGGGAACACGGGAAACATTGGGACAAGCAATGTCAAGACTGAAAATAGTGGGAAGTAGAAGACCGACTGAAAACATGAGATTTCAGAACAGAGAGAGCACGAGAGGGGCATTCGGAGGAGAGGGAAGGACTACTGAAGACACTCGGGCAGTCTCCAAGGAACACGAGGTTGATTGAGGGGTGTGCAGTCAGATAATGAGGGGAGGACCTTAAACCCTTATAAGGACTTTGATTTCTACTTTGTATCAGGAAACCAAGGGAGACTTTGAACAGAGGAGCAGAATGATCTCACTTCCCTTTTATTTTTTTTTAAGATTTATTTTTTCTGGAAATGCATATTTACTGAGAGAAGAAAGTACAAAGAGAAAGATCTTCCATTCACTGGTTCACATCCCAAATGGTTGCTATGGCAGGTCCAAAGCCAAGAGCCAGGAGCTTCTTCTGGCTTCTCACGTGGGTACAGGGTCCTAAGCCTCAGGGACATCTTCTACTGCTTTCCTAGCCCACAGGCTGGGAGCTGGATGGGAAGTGGAATAGCCAGGACATGAACTGGTGCCCATATGGGATAATGGCACATGCAAGGTGAGGATTTAGCCACTAAACTGTTGTTCCAGGCCCTTCACTTCCTTCTGAATAGGTTAACTTTGGCATCTGGGTTAAGAATACATTCAGTAGGAAAGGTAGGGCAACAGAAACAAGACCAGTCCCCTTGTCTACTTGAATAATCCAAACATGACTTAAGTAGATCAGAGTAGACACAGTAAGTAATTGAACCTGGATGTACTGTGAGAGCAGAGCCAGCATACTGATTGCACAGTAGATGTGGAACATAAGGACAAGAAACTGAGGAATTGAAAACGGATTTAGAAAGGAAAGGTGGGACAATTTACTTGAAGATTGTGTGTGCAAGGCAGCAGCTTAAATCTGGAAGGACGGTTTTGAGCAAGCCTTGTTGATCCATTCTTGTCTTGTATACTGATGGAAAGCCAGATGGTAACTTGCAACATATATTAGTGAACTTCCAAATTAAGGTTAGAGTACATTCACCTCAGCACTCTTATTTCTATACTCAGAGAATCCTCCCCCCGCAAAAAATAGTAATGTTAACATGGGAAAACATTCCTGAACAAGATGTCACCTTCAAAGATATGGTTTAAATATGGGCATCAAAGCGGTTTTGTAAGAGTCCTTGGGGGACGGCAAGATGGCCTAGTGGCTAAATCCTGGCCTTGCAAGCGTGGGCACTGTGCCTGCTGCTCCACATGCTGTTCAGCTCCCTGCATGTGGCCTTGGAGAGCAGTGGAGGACAGCCCAAAGCCTTGGGACCCTGCACCCACATGGCAAACCCAGAAGAAGCTCCTCGTTCCTGGCTTCAATCAGCTAAGCTCCGGCCCTTGTGGCCACTCAGGCAGTGAACCAACAGAAGGAGGGTCTTTCTGTGGCTCCTTCTCTCTGTATATCTCTGCCTTTCCAGTGAAAATAATAAATACATGTCAAAAAATAAGAGTCCTTGAAAATGTAAATTTCCCACAGTTTCTGAGTGTCCAGCATATGAATAGAATCCTTAAGTTTCAGAGGAATAAAAGAAAATGTAGAGTATTTGGACACAAAAAATTCCCAATCTTGCATGGAATAATCTCAAAAATGCAACATCTTCATAAATAAGAAGATATTGTAATCAAATTTTGAATATATACTATTACAGATAAAAGGTGTTTTCCCATTCTTGGTTTTACTGTAAATCTAGCAAATTTACTCAGTATGAAAAAAAAGGCAATGCATGTGTTAAATGGGATAACTCCTGTGTCTTGAGGCTTAATACCTCATGCTCACAACTCATTTTGTCCGTTTAATTTGAATCCTAAGCTGACTTAACTTCTTCCTCCAGCTTCTTACATTCAACTCTACTCAGGTTGGGTCCCAAAGCACAGTAACATCAAGTTTCTCTCTCTCTGGTTAAACTGTTCAATCATTTACAAAGGGAATGGATCCTACAAGATTCCTTTACCTCACCCCGTAACGACTCTCTTCTTTTCTTAGCAGAAAAGGAGGAACTTTTTCAGGAAGGTCTCTGCCCAGGGCTTCTCTGGGGTCGCAAATACGGAGTTTGGAGCAGCACCACCTGCTGGCAGTGCCTACGTCTTACTTCCCCCACGGGCCTGCACGCTGTCAAGGCCTCTCGTCCCCACCGCAAGTGAGGCAAAACACAGCGCTCTCCGGGCATCTCCACCATCGGTTCCGCAAATCACAGATGGATCTGACCCGGACAGCCCGGCGGGTGCGAGCTCCGCGAGGGCGAGGCGCGGCTTCCGGTCCGCTCGGCTCCGCCCCCGCGACGCGCCGGGCGGTCACGTGACGGCCGCGCGCGTCCCCGGCCGCTGCGGGTGCCAAGGCTGAAGAGAAAAGACGGCGAGGTGGCCGGGGCTGCGGCCAGCGAGGTGGGGATCGCGGCTCATCCCTGGCCGAGGCCACGGCGGGGGACCTGCCGCTCGGGATCCCGGCGCGGGGGGACGCAGGCACGGGGCCGGGCTCGGCCTGCCCGCGGGCCCGGAGAGGGGCGGCGGCGGGGTCAGGACCCGGTTCGTAGATGGACGCCCTTGGCCGGCGCGACCGCGGCTGTGGCGGACGGGCCCGGGTGGCCTCCCCGCCGTCCCCGCCGAGGCTTTCGTCGCAGGCAGTTGGACTGTGACGAGCTCTGCTTGGCCGTGGGGCCGCAGTCCCTGCCGTGGCGAGGCCGCTGCTGGCCTGGGCCGAGGTGCGAGAGGCAGGGCAGCGGCCATTACTGCGCAGCCTCCTCCTCCGGGTCCGCGTCGGCGTCTTTGGTGGCCGCCAGGTCCCTCCTCCTCCTCCTCCTCCTCCTCGGCGGGGGTGTCAGGCCTCTGCCCGAGGGGGACCTCCTGACGCTGCGATGGTTTGGGGGTACCCTGTTCCGCTTGTGCAGTCCCACACCCCGGGACTGGGAACTGGAGCCAGGACATGGAGTCCCGGCGATGTGTCTGATGCCGAGCGTCTTGGGTTGCTGTTCACGCGTTGTCTGCTGTGCTTCTCCTTTTGCTCAGTGTCTGGGTCTTGCCTGTTGTTGTCGTGGTGAGAGCCGGCGCTGCACTGTCTGGTTTGCTCTGGTGGCTGTGGAGGCTTGGGGCCCCGGGGAGGGCCCCGGAGAGAGCCCCGAGACCTCCAGGCGCCTCCACCGTCCCGGCTCTGCTTTGTTCTGGTGGCTGGCTGCGGAGGTCCAGGCAGTCCGAGAGCGCTGGGCTTGCTTTAGGGTCTCTGTTTTGTTTCCTGGGAAAGGCGGAAACGTTGTTTTTAGAGGTGCAAAGGGAGCCTTTTCCGCACGTAGCAGGTCCAGACTGCTAGGTGTACACACACATGTTCTTGAGAGCAGAATTTTGTCTGTGATGTTCATTGTTTCGTTTGGTGTTTTTTTGTATTTCTCTGAGTTTCATATGTGTATATCTTGAAACTGTGTGGAACTGAAGGGAGAAGAGAACCGAGAAAGGATGGAAAACGCTTTGTTCTTCCTATGATTGACATTCCGGGTGCCAGGGGCCCTTAACCACCCCGCTCCACTCCAACTCGGAATTGTGTGTGCAGGTCCAGTGGGAAGTGGATGTATGTCGTTGGCATTGAAAGCAGCGTGTCATTACAGAATTTGGAAGGCATAGGACATTTTACTAAGTGCATCTGTATTTAGACTTTAGAAAGCATCTTAGGACACACACAGAAAATGGCCCTCACAGATAGGATTTGTGATGTTAGTTTTTTTTTTTTGACTAGCAAATACAGCTGGTATTCCGAGTGTGGGTGTTCCGAATATGCGTGAAAATAGGTCAGGGAAAAGTCACCTGAAGGATGGAGGAGGAGGAAGACCAGTCAAGAAGCCCTACAAGATGTCTACAAAAATGTAAAACTAAATAGAAATGAATGTATGTTAAAAAAATCCGCGGAGTGAATAACACTCTGAAAATAAATTATAGCAACATTTGTTTTGGTCTTGAGTATCTTGGAGTATTTTAAGCCCGGCTTAGTTCTTACGGTTTATGTGTTAAATGGATCTGTAAGAAGTTGTGGGCAAATGAACATTTACATAGACGCTTGAAGGATTTTGTGATTTGCTGGTTCTTGAGAAGGTAGTAGGAAAACTTGATCCAAATAGCTGGCCAAAAGAGAAGAGAAAGAAAAAAAATAGAATGCTTTTCTTTTAGGAGATGGGTCAGATGGTAACATGTTTGGGATTGTTATAAGAAAGTAGTCTAGAATCATTTTTAGAAGGATCCAGAATAATTTCCTGATTTAAGGAGATAGTTTTTTCTGAAATATTGATAATTTTGGAGAATACTGTTTTTTGTGTTAACTGTATACATTTAACTGTTGTTTCATGTATTAAATTCCTGACAACTTGTCCTTTGGGGAGTTGAGTGTGTTTTATTTTTTGTCTTTGTTTTCCATAGTGCTGCCGTTGGAAGGAGCTGAGCCTTTTCGATTTTCTTACCTGATTGCCTGGTGAGAGGAGTCTCCAGTTTGAAACACCATGCTGGATTAGGCAGAATCTTCGTGAGTATAGATACCAACTTGTTAACGGGGCTACAGCTGGGTGTGTTTATTTATAAATCATGTGCAGTGTTCATGGCCTATTACCTTTGAGGAGGTTAAAATCAAACCTGCTGTTAAATACCTGTTAATTAAGTATTTGTAATTTGGAATTACAGATTTAAAGAGTAGGAAGAAATGCAGACATGAAAGTCGTGACTTGACGACAAGGTCACACATTTGAGAAGCAGTGGAGCCTTTCTTAATCACAAAGTAGTGGCCGGCCATGAAACTTACATGTTTCAGTGATTAAGCAGTATTGGTGTGAATTTGATTGAAATGTAATGTAAAGCCCACTTTTTGCAAGGAAAATTTGAAGCTTTAGTGCTTAAGTGTGGAGATTATGAAATTAGTAAGTAGACCCATCCTGTTTTTAAAAGGAACAGGTATAATGAGAGAAGTTAATTCTTGAAAACAAATATTGGACTGCATTTAGTTTAAATGAACCTACAGTTAAGACTTTTGTGAGTTGATTTTTTTACAAGAAAGTTAGGAAGAATGAAAGTGGAAACATTAGGCCATTTGGTTGTGTGTTTCAGTTTGTGGCTGCTTCTACAGAAATCCTGAGATGTGGCTCAGATACCCCCTCCTCTTATTTATCTTTACTTTGTGTGATATATGTACCGAAAATTGGAAGGTTGAAGGACTTTTCATTCTGTCACATCTAGACTTTTGTACAGAACATTTCCAGCTGTCAGTGTTTTTTTTAGTATTGTTAGCGGACTAGATACCTAATTTAATTTCAGATCTTTCTTTCGTTCTTCTTTCTTTCTTTCTTTTTTTTTTTTTACTTAATGGATCATTTTATTAAACTTGGTGTATAGTTTGCAAGTCATTTATTGTAGCAGGAACTATGTATGAATTATTTTTAGATGAATGCTGAATGCTGGCTTGTAGTTAAATTGCACCATTCTGTCTTATGTCCTCCTTTTGGTTAAAATAAAAGTATTGGTATTTCTTTTCCTGGCTACCACTTCTCCCACATTTGAAAACATGTTTGGTTTCAGATTATATGGTTTTCTGAGGACTTCTTCGTGTTGTTTCTGAGTAATGCCTGCCTCTCCAGGACGTACTCTGTTAGTGTCGTGGTTCTTACTGCTTGCTGTGCCTTCCTTGCTCAGGAGGAGAGCTGGAAGCCCTGTGGAGCTGTTGGTCATGTGATCTGTGGCCAGTGTGGGATGAGATGTGCATTCCAAAGAGTACATACAAGAATATTGCTATCATTTTAAAATTAGATATACGTTGAATAGTTTCACTTGTTTCTTCATTCTTGGATTAATTGGAGTTCTTAAAAATACTGTCTTCTGGTGTTTATGTAGCAAAGCCTTTGCTTTTAATACTTGTTACTTTATCGTTATTTCAACTCTGAACAACTTACTTGGATGTTCACATATATATGAGGAAGATGGAGTTTGAAGAATTTTTTGTGCATTCCTTTGATTTTACTTTGTTTCAGTTTTGTTGGATTCCTTTATGCCTAAACTTAGATTTTAATAAAAATATTTATGGAAAATCATGAATGAGTGAATGGAGGGGAATAGAATAGATTTAAGATAAATAAGGAGGACTTAGAAATTGGAATGTTTTTCTGTGTATTCATTGGAGTAAAAAGTATTTAATTATCAAAATTGAAATATAGATTAAAAATATTTAAAGATTTCTTTAATTTCACTAGGAAATTTAGCCTTCAAAGTATTTTTCGAGTAACAGATTACAACGATTGAATAGTATGTTCTAAAGACTTAACATAGCAAAGTAGGCCATCAACAATCCTAGCAGGAAGTTGTGGACAAAAAAAACTCTCTTAGAATTGTGGTTAAGAATAACTTGATATTTGAGTGATGCTCCAAAAACGTAGGGTGTCTTTTAGTCAGGAAAAAAAAAACTGCATTGCATAGAAGCTGGGTAGATCTGATATGTTCTTCCTAGCTAAAGAGCTTAACTTTACCGGGAAAAAAGGGTTGGTGGAACTCATGTTGGCTTGTTTTTGGATTTTTTTTTTTTAAGATTTACTTATTTTTATTGGAAAGGCAGATGTACAGAGACAAAGATCTTCCATCTGATGATTCACTCCCCAAGCGACCACTACGGCTGGTGCTAAGCTGATCTGAAGCCAGGAGCCTGGAGTTGCTTCTGGTTCTCCCACACAGGTGCAGGGTCCCAAGGCTTTGGCCGTCCTCAACTGCTTTCCCAGGCCACAAGCAGGAAGCTGGATGGGAAGTGAGGCTGCGAGATTAGAACCGCTGGCCAAAGAGATCCTGGCACGTACAAGGCAGGACTTTAGCTGCTAGCTGCTATGCTGCCATGCTGGACCCTCTCTAGCTCTCTCTCTTTTTTTTTTGTTAAGATTTATTTATTTTTGTTGGAAACGCAGATTTACCAACAGGAGACACAGACAGATCTTCTGTTGGGTCCCTAATTAATATATTTTGCTTCTTCCCATGTGGTCTTTTGTTTGCAGTTAGAATACATGTAAGTGCATGTGTTTGATTGTTTAATGCTGTTTCTAAAAGTAATTTTTTCCATCTTGCAAGTTCAAATTAACAAAAATTGACATTTCACTAGCTTCTTCAAAAATTTTGTTTGTTTCTAAGATTTATTTATTTTTATTACAAGGGCAGAAATGGAAAGTGGAGCAGCTGGGACATGAACCCCTGCCCATATGGGATCCCAGCACATGCAAAGGGAGGATTTAGCCATTAAGCCATCTCGCTGGGCCCTCAGTGGTTCATTCTAACAATTATTTAAACTGGCTCATAGTAATGTCAGAAGTTACAGTGAAGATGATGATCAGTAGTGAAAAAGTAAGGTGAAATAAAACTTGAAAGTTGAGAAAGCAGCTGGAGGGGATTGTGGAATATGTGTATTGCAGTCAGTGGTAGAGACTTCAAAGATTAAGTAAGTAAGCAGTAGGGGTGATATTCACAAAATAGAGTACCCCTTCATACATGTCAGTAGGGAATGAATGGCTATGTGTGAACATAGACCTGTTTTGAAAAGACTGCAGGAGGAAAGAGTGTGAAGTGCTCATGATGCATTGAAGTCGTGGGCACTTAGAGGGGAGAGGGGGAAAAAGGTGGCAGAAACAGTGGAGCTCTGTATTATCTAAAGTCAGAGTAAAATAAAAAGCCAGGTAACTTAGAAACTTTGAGTCCATTTTGAGCGTTCTCTGGTTCTCGGTGTTGTTGATTGTGAGCTCGGGGTTTAGTTTTGAGTGCCTGATTTTAAGTAAGTACTGTGTAGTTTTGTGTGGATCTGGTAATATGGGAGAAGAAAATACTGAATGTTTTTAAAAAAATGCCTAAGATGCTGTTCTGAATTGTGCCTCTGAATTTCCTGGATGAGAGGCATTTTGAGAGAAGGTTACTTAAAGACTATAACGTGTGTACAGATACCTACATATAGAGAAGTCCTAATTAGTATGATGACATTGCCTTTACAAATTTCGCCATGTAGGAAGGTAGTGATGATGAATGCATTCAATATGAAAGATGGGATACTTTTTTATTGTTACTATGTTCATGCCAAAATTGTTTGACATAATGTTTATTGCACAATGTTTGCATAAAATATGCTGTTGTAACCATTTGTGAATACTCAATTAATTATGATTAATTATGGAACTATCACTGGTGTGCATTTCTGCAACTTTTTTTTTTATCATTCCCAAGAAACACATATTAGACAATAATAGCTTAGTCTCTTTTCCCAGCCTCGGATAGTTTGTAATGTTCTTTCTGTTTTTAGGCTTTTGATATTTCATGTAAGTAGAATCATGCATTTACTTCTTTGTATCTGGTTTATTTCACTTATTACAAGTTCTCAAGTTTCATCCATGTTACAGTACATATCAGAACTTTATTCCTTTTTATACTGAGTAATAGACTGTTTTACTTATTTACTTTTTTAAAAGATTTATTTCATTTATTTGAAAGGCAGAGTTACAGAAAAAGGAAGAGACGCAGAGAGAGCTTCTCTGCTGGTTTATCTGCTAGGTGGCTGCAGGAGCTTGAACTTAGCTAGATAGGAGCCAGGCGCTTCATTCCAGTCTCCCATGTGGGTGGCACTGCCTCAAGTACTTGGGCCATCTTCTGTTACCCTCCCAGGTGTTACCAGAAATGCCCGGTGGGTTCTTTCCTCAGCTTAGTATAGAAATAAAAAGTCGGGAATCTGTTGCAGACTGAAAAGTTGCAAAACGACCAGTTGAGCAGGGAAGGGAGAGGGAGGGGGAAGCACCTTTGGAGAGAAAGCCAGGAGGTCCAGTGCCTCTGGAAAGGGGAAGGAGAGAGAGACACCAAAGATTTGAGGAAGGCTCTTGGGATTTTAAGCATTCCCTGACATCTACTTGCTGGGCGAAGAGCCCACAGGTAAGATGTTCCCCATTGGTGGTCTCTTAGTTAGGAAATTGGTGGGCAATGCTGGTGCTGCCCACCTGAAGGTGTGGCCAAAACCTCAGCAGGCCTGGACCTTCTCACCAGGCACACCAGTAGGGGTCAGGATCAGATACACAGCAGTCCTGACAAAAACCAGTTCCTGTGTGGGATTTTGGTCTCAGTGGTGGTGGCTTACCCTGAACCACAGTACCAGCCCCACGCTACTGTGTTATAATGGTTGATTTTTTGGGTGAAAACTAAATGATTATCCAGTCGCAACTGTGCCATTTTAGATTCTCTCCAGTAGTGTTGGAGGGTCTGGTTTCTGTTTACCAACACTTAATTTCCCTTTTTAAAAGATTATAACCATCCAAACAGAGCTGTCATCGTGATTTTGATTTGCATTTCCCTAACAATTAATAGCATCTTTTGGTGCTTACTCTTTGTGTGTCTTCTCTGGAGAAATGTTTGTCCCTTTTGCCTATTTTTTAATTTGTTTGTCTTTTTGTTGGTAGACTATAATTCTTTCTGTATTTTAGAGCCTTATCATACACACGCTTTGCAAAGATTTTCTCCTGTCCTGTATTTTGTTTAGTTTCTTGACAATGACCTTTGCGCAGTGTTAAATTTTGATAATACCCAATTTATGTTACAATTTGTCATATAGTTTTAGTGTCATCTAGAGATTTATTGCCAAACCCAAATCATGAAAATTTGTACTAATATTTTCCTCTATGAATTTTGTGGTTATAGATCATTGATCCATCTTAATTTAATATGATATAAGGCAGATGTGTAATGGTATGATTTTTCATGGTAAATCCACTTTTCCCAGCAACATTTGTTGAAGAGACAATTCTTTACCTTTGAAAGGGTTTGACATCATTTTGAAAATTCTTTTACAATAGATGTGTGGGAATATTTCTGGACTGAAGTTCCGGTTTCATTTGTGTACTTGCCTGTTTTATGTTAGTTCCAGTGTGTTGGTAACCATAGCTTTGTACTAAGATTGACATTTGTAAATATGAATTCTTCAGCTTTTTCTTTTTCCTTATAAGATTATTTTCATAATTAGAGCTCTTGTAATTCAGATGGAATTGCTTTCTTGATTTCCATTTTTGACTGTGCTAGTGAGTAGAAACACAACTGGGGTGTGTTTGTAACTTGTGACCTGCAACTTTGGTAAAGGTCTTTTATTAGCTTCCTTGGGAATGTTTGGGTTTGTGCTTATAGTATGCAAAGAAGTTGATGTTGAATTTTATTTTTCAGCATGAAGAATGAACAAGCAGTGGAAAAGAAAATATTGCAAACTGGCTATCTCCTCGTGAAGATGTTTTGTTTTTGTGGAAGGCATCTGTGGAATTTATAATAGAAATGTAAGTCTGTGGATTTTTCAAAGCTACAGTAAGTTAAGAGTACAGTAAATAAAGCATCATATTTATTTTTTAATAATAGGAAACAGGCCTATTTATTGACTTGCGCAGACTTTGGCTTAATAGTTTTACTGTAATTATCATCAATATAGAATTCCAACACTTTCTCATAGGAAAAAAATATCTGCAAGAAGTGATTGCTGTGAATTAGCTTATAGGAGGCTGGAGGAGTTCCAGGTCTTTGGGGTTCTGATTTCTCTTTACATAGAAATGTGTTTAAGCAGTCAAGGTAAATAAGATAATGTCAGTTTCTATAAATAAAGACTTGGCTTATAAAACTACTGGTTACCAGAAGCTATTTTCATGAAATTAAAGCAATGCTTTCATACCATAATTGATTTTTTTAAAATGTAGTACATTATTTTAGATTGATTGACTTTTATGATCAGTTAACTAGTTTTGTCTTCCTCTTATGTACTTTAAAGTGTTATATGACCTCAGAGTTGCTTATGCTGAACCTTATTACCAATAAAACATATTCCATGATCAGTATAATATTTTTACCTCCTAAATTCATATGAACATTATCCAAGTTGATGGCACTTAGAAAAGTTTAAATTATGTTTTTATTAAGTCTTTGAGTCTTGATGATTGTAGTGTTTAAATTCTTGGACCTGGACCAAACATTGACCCTGTAGATGCTATTGCTTGATGTTTATCTCTTGATATCGACTTCTGCAGTGTGGTACCTCTGATTGCATACTTCTGACTCATGAGACTACCATTCCTACTGTTGAGAATGTGACCAACAATAGTAATGTGCTGAGAATTTTTCTTCTTAATTGAGACAAATCTATCATTTATTCCTACCTCTATCTATCAGCATTTTAAAAAATCTTATAGGTGAGGTAATCTGGGTCCTGGTTATCAGGAGATTTATTGTGGCCCAGTAAGTGAGACACATTAACGTAAAACGTGGGAATAATGAACCATGAAACCATGGGACATATGTCATACTTAGATGAGGAAGAGGTCAGTTCCATCTGAAGGGTTCAGAATGAACAGAACTTTTAGCTTGGCTTTAAGATTGAATAGACTTTCAACAGCTTAAGAAAAATTAGAAATTGTATTTCAACCCAAGGAAATGGAGAGTGCTGCAGATGCCTGAACATGAGGCATTTTAGAGGGGATTCGGGGAACAGGAGTTTGTGGGGAAGCAGAGTAGGAGGAAGAAACCTTTAAGTAAGAATGGATGTTTAGCACACACTGTACTTCTATTGTTTTGCTTGGATTATTAACATGAGTTACTTTGTATGAAGTGATAGGCTCATTTTTGTTGATACGGCAGAGTGAGAGGGTGATTTCAGCCCTTGCTTGAGATTCCCAGTTCCCCCATTTTAGAGGGTCTAACTCTAGTGCCTGGTATTCCATGAGTCTGATCCAGTCTCTTAATGCACCTGAGATGCAGCAGACCATGGCCAAAATGCTTGGGTCCTACAACAGCTGGGGAACTTCCTGGCTTCTGGAATCATCCTCTTCTGACCTAAACTGTTGTAGGTGTTTGGAAAATGAGTCAGTACTTGGGGATTCTTGCCCTCTACCCTTCTCCCCCTTTTTCATCACAATGCCATAAAGCAAATAGGTAAGTTTTAAAGGCACAATTAGAGGCCTAAGTCACTTGCCTAGACCAGTGTTTACCAAGTTTCTTGGAATAATCCTGTGGAATGCTTGTTTTTTAAAAAAATCCTAGACTCTAACCTAGAACCCTTGATAAAGATTTCCAGGAGAGAGCTCACTAGCTAATTCTTAACTTTAGACAAGTTTGGGAAATGCTGACCTAGGTCTCCACACTCTGCGAATAATGGATAGTGCTGGATTTTAATTAAGTCTCTTTATCATTGCATTTTAATTAAGTCTGTTTACCATTAAGGCTGTATCTGTGTCTTGGAAGTCAGTGCTTAGGACTTAGATTATGTGGACAATAGAAGACTCGAAAGACTAATTCAACATTTCCAACTAGGGGAAGAAAAAGAGGGAAGTAAGGTTGGTATTTGCACAAGTGAATGTGTTTGAGAGCTATAAGCTTTGGGAATGCAGGGGACATTTCTGTTATTGAAGAGAGTTGTCACCAAGGAATAGGGAGACAGTACCATTTAAGCAATACTAAATAAACAGAAATGAAAGCATTTGCTTACCAATGTTTAATGATGACACTGTTTACCGAGATTCAGAATTCGATAAGACTTCAAAATACTTATAACTTCTGTAGGTGGAAAATAATAGATGCCATAATCTAAGTTATACTCTTAACAGTTATTGGTCCAGGTTTTAGCCAAGATAGAGAGCAAAGGACAAGGATGCAGGTTCAGGAAAGTAAGGGTTTTTGTTTGGTTGTTTGTTTATGTTAATTCTAGGTAGTTTAGTTTATGTTAAGTTATATTAATTCTAGGTGCAAGGAGAATTTTGAACATAAACTTTGAATACATTACTGGAAACATTGTTAGGTGGAACAGTTGCGGATGTTGGATTTTGGAGTCATTTAGCCTTAGGAATGAAATAGTGAAATTTTGTGGCATGTAATATAATATGGAAATGGGACCACCCAGCGACCCTGGCTGCTATACCAAACCCCTGTGCACGCACCTGAGGCTTAGAAAAGTCTGATTTTCAGTGTTTAAAATTTGTATTCCTGGCTGAAAAGTTTTTCAGTACTGTGCGTTGCTAAGTATCTTTTGTATTTGTAATAGTTTTGTCCTTCTTTTAACTAAATGTCTTAAAGATTCAATTAAATCTAAATGTTTGGAGATTTCCCACCTGCTTTGCTTATACCCCTCAATGTTTCATCTTATGGAGTCTTATTACTTCCCCTGCAGAAATACTTAAGTAGATTACCTGTGGGAACAATGGGATTTTTGAATAAAAGATCGTATGGACTTATTTTATTAAAAGTCTTAGAAAATGAGTGCTCTACTCTTTGTTTATTAGCAGAGTTAGACTAACTTTGCTTTGAATTTTTATCTACTGATTCTTAATCTAGTAATGTGAAAATAAATCTTGTTCAGAGTTAATACTTTAATTTGTTAAAATAATTATTCACTAAGGGAAAACTCTTGTTGGATTTTTTGCATATCTTTAGCCTCTTGCATATTTAAGATAATTAAAGCTGTAAAATAGACTATAACGCAGTGAAGGGTGCCTTACAGGTAGGCTAGGGGGTTTGACCTGCTTTGTCATTCACCTAATACAACCGATGTGCCTTATTCAGAATCGTAGATGAGATATTGTGTATGTCTCAACATTGCTTTGTTGATGATGGTTACAATAGATTGATACTTGTGTTTTCATTAGGCCTCTAGTTATCTGATATTTGTAAAGTGGAAGTCAGTTTTACTTCATTTTCTGAGAAACTCAAAATGCTTGCCCTGAAAAAACTGCTTTTGTTTTTTTTCAAATGTGTTGTTTGCAGTTTATGCTATCTCCTGGAATAGTTTAATTGCCTTTCCCATTTTGAAATTTTATGCTTAGATTGATTCATACATAAAAAAGTAAAAGTTGTATAAAATATTGATCTTGTTAAGTGGCTTGGAGAAAAAATTTTTAGGTTGAAAGCTTTGCTTTGCAGATAAACTAACTGCATCTAATGGAAAATTGACAGTTGGTCAATTTTACTTAAGTACAACATGTTTCAAATTGTGCATATAGAAATACTACATTGGTCCAAGTGACACGTTAGATATCTTTATAATTTAAATTTGTTAAAGTTCTCTGTGATCGTAGGTGCTTAGAGATTTAGGATGTAGATCTTCTGTGTAAAATGTTGGTATTACTTTTACAAATTGGTGAAAAGCATTAAGGCCCTCTTTTCTTTATTTATTAGTACATCTTTGAAGGGATCTTAAGCTCTTTTGAGACTCCTGCAGTACCTGACTGATATTAAGAAGAAATATTTGGTTTATTTGGAACTTATCATGAGTTAGGCAAAAATTACACTTTGCTGAGTTTCTGTTAATCCAGAGCTTTTGGTAAACAAGTTAATTGGAACTCTGTAGTTGCAACAGAATTTAAAATTAGGCCTTTCATTGAGATTGTTTCAGCCTTTTCTAGATAAGTCCAATCTTTAAAAACAAAAACAAAACACCTTTTCTACAACTTTAAACCTTTTCAACTGAAGATAAAGGATATAGAAAAGAAGCTGTACAAGAATGATTGTTACGAAAGGAAATTTGGTATATTGAAAGTATAATACTGTTTTTCAAATTTTGATTTGTGCTAACAATTCATTGTTCCTTTTAATGCTACTCTTCTCATTTTCTATGCTTAATCTTAGAGAAAAAAAAGAGCCTTAACAACAATTATAAATAAATACTCCATATTTTAATCCAAAAAAAATAGTTGGCAAAGATTATGACTCCTTTCTAAGTAGCACTTAGCAGTTTTTAATGAAAATAGCTTTACCTCCTGTTGTCCCATTGCTTATGTGGTTCAGTGCTTTGCACATCTCTTCTGCAGGTCTACTTCCAAGACCCCTCATCATGACACAGATGTTTGGATGTGTTTGAACATTTTGTTTTCATTATCAAGAGGCATGCATGTTTGCATAGCAGACTAGCGGTTTGGCTGTTTCATCCTTTCAGCCATGGGATACCCAGTAGTGTGTGTGAACCATGATAGATATTTACTAGGTGTTTGACTGAGTTGATCAGGCAAAAGTTCCAAATATTATCAGTGTTTAATTAGTACTTTGACAAATCATGCTTTTCTTTTTTTTCTCTCTCTGCTTCAGAACACCTTTGATATGCATGCTGGTTTTTTTCCTGGTCTTTGATAGGTTATCATCTTCTGGGGCTTTAGTCATTTATGAAATGTTTTTTTTGTAAGCCTAAGCTTTATAAACTCTGGCAGATACGATTTGAGGTTCCTTGTCTAGTGTTGCTTTAACAACATAGCAGCTGCCTTAATTCAGGTTACATGTTCTCCTGTGGCTGGCTGTAGCTTTTCATGATATAGTCTGTCATTATGCTACTTTAGGGCTGATCTGCAAGTTCATTGGCAGAATTTTTGTACATTCTCAGGATGTGTAAATATGTGATTAAATAAAGTTATGTCAGGTGGTTTCACTTAGTGTTGTTTAAAGTAAAATAAAATCACTATCCATTTTATGATGTCATATTCATATTATTGCCTGAAGAAGCTTTTATTTTAAAGATTTATGTATTTTCATTGGGAAGGCCGATTTTTACAATGCAGGGTTGAGAACAGAAAGGCCTTCCATCTGCTGGTTCACACCCCAAATGACTTCAGTGGTTAGATCCGAGCAGATTCAAAGCTAGGAGCCAGGAACTTGTTCCAGGTCTCCCACTCAAGTGCAGGGGTCAGGACTCAGGCCATCCACCGCTGCTTTTCCAGGCCACAAGTAGAGAGCTAGATTGGAAATAGAGCAGCCAAGACACAATCTATTGCCCATATGGGATGCAGCCCATAGCAGGTGGAAGCTGCTGAAAAAAAAAAAAACAAATTTCTAAGTAAATAATTTAACATCCTCTATTTGTCAGATCCTGAACACAAACACAGCAGTACAAACACAACAGTAAGCAAAAAGTGACCTGTTCTTGCCTTTATAAAGCACATTAGTTTGTGGGCAAGGCTGACATTAACAAAATAATCATACAAGTAAATGTATCTTTCAGTTTGTTAAGAAATGAGGATTCTTTGATAAGAAATTAGTGGGATGGGCTTACTTACTCCTGGAGGCTTGCTCCAGGGGCTCCGAGATGGAGAATAACTTCCAGAAGGCAGGTAGTGAGGAGGTAGTGTTTGCATAAAGCAAGCCTAGTTGGAAGTAGTGGTCAGGACCATTAGCAGACTAATAATGGGAGAGTTGATAAGAGATGAGGGTCAGATAAGGCAGGGTGTATTAAGGCCGGTTTAATCTACATCCTAAAACCAAATTATATTAAGAGAATATGCCTGGACCAATTAAACAGTATATGCAGTAATAAAATAAACAATTTTTTACTTGATAGCCAGGGAAGAATGGTAAATAGTAGATTCAGGAGATATTAGGGAGACAAAAATTGATCAATATTTTAGATAGAGAGGTATAGGAAAAAGATAGTTGCTAAACTGGGTATTTGGTTATAAGATGCTGATAGATAGTGTTAATTAGTACTTTTTTTAAAAGATTTGTTTATTTTTATTGCAAAGTCAGACAGAGGAAGAGAAACAGAGAGGAAAAACTTCCACCCCATGAGTCACTCCCCAAGTGACTGCAATGGCCAGTGCTGCACTGATCCGAAGCCAGGAGCCAGGAACTTTCCTCCAGGTCTCCCACGTGGTTACAGGTCCCAAGGCTTTGGGCTGTCCTTGATTGCTTTCCCAGGCCACAAGCAGGAAGCTGGATAAGAAGTGGAGCTACTGGAATTAGAACCAGTGCCCATATGGGATTCCGGTGCATTCAAGGCAAGGACTTTAGCTGTTAGGCTACCACATTGGCCCACTTTGGAGTTTTTATCAAACAAAAAAGAGTAGATCATGGTTATAGTCTAAGATAGGCAATTGGAAAAACCATGGCCAAAGAAAAAGAGGTTTGGGTAATGATGGCAGTATGTTATTTCTACTTTGGTAGTAACTAAATCCATGAGTATGGATGAGAGAGTATAGATCATTTTAAAAGTAGATTGAGAACATAGGCTTTAGAAGCACAGACAAAGGTGTCTGCCCATTTCAGGGAGAAGAGATGGGCAAATGCGACTGAAATTACTGGTTGAGCCAATGATTTTTATATATACTCTAGGGACAGGGAACTTTTAAGACTTTCATCTTAATTTTGTACTTATCTGCTTGTTAGTAAAATACATAAGATGTGTAAAAAATACATGGCAGCATTTGTGAAATACAGTGATGCTCTATCTACTAAATTATTTCTGTAATTGTAATCTGAATTATGATTTTGTTTTTCCAATTACCTTCCAGGTTGACTGTAAAGTCAATTTAGAACCGATTGTATTTCTAAATCTTTGTATTTAGATGTCTTATAAATTCTATGTCCAGGTAGAAATAGTGTATTTATTTAAAATCTATGCTTTATACATGTATAGGTATAAGCGTGTCTGTGTAGTTATAACAAACAGGGATGTTTTGGTTTGGTTTTACATTTATGTACCTTGTTACCCACTACAGATCAAAACTGATGAGAAACAAAAACCAAAAAGATTTTCTGTTTGTTTTTTTCTTATATTTATATTTGTATCCCCATTGTTTAGTATGTGGTTTGCATAATACGCTGAATGAATGCTTTCTGGAGTTTTGATAGCATTATAGGAACTTAAACAGCATTAAAAATCTTTTCTTATTTTCTTAGGATGGCTGGCTGTGGTGAAATTGATCACTCAATAAACATGCTTCCTACAAACAGGAAAGCAAATGAGTCCTGTTCAAATACTGCACCTTCTCTCACCGTCCCTGAATGTGCCATTTGTCTTCAAACTTGTGTTCACCCAGTCAGTCTGCCCTGTAAACATGTTTTTTGCTATCTGTGTGTAAAGGGAGCTTCATGGCTTGGAAAAAGATGTGCACTTTGCCGACAAGAAATTCCTGAGGATTTCCTTGACAAGCCAACCTTGCTATCACCAGAGGAACTCAAGGCCGCAAGCAGAGGAAATGGTGAATACGCATGGTATTATGAAGGAAGAAATGGGTGGTGGCAGTATGATGAACGTACTAGTAGAGAACTGGAAGATGCTTTTTCCAAAGGTAAAAAGAACACGGAAATGTTAATTGCTGGGTTTCTGTATGTTGCTGATCTTGAAAATATGGTTCAATATAGGAGAAATGAACATGGACGTCGCAGGAAGATTAAGCGAGATATAATAGATATACCAAAGAAGGGAGTAGCTGGACTTAGGCTGGACTGTGACACTAGCACCGTAAACCTAGCCAGAGAGAGCTCTGCTGATGGAGCGGACAGCGTAGCAGCCCAGAGTGGAGCTTCTGTTCAGCCTCTAGCGTCGTCTTCCGCAAGGCCCACAACTTCAGTAGATGGGCCGTTAACAAGCCCTGCCACACCATCTCCTGATGCAAGCACTTCTTTGGAAGACTCTTTTGCTCATTTACAGCTCAGTGGCGACAGCATAGCTGAAAGGAGTCACAGAGGGGAAGGAGAAGAAGATCATGAATCCCCATCTTCAGGCAGGGTACCGGACACCTCCATTGAAGAAACTGAATCCGATGCCAGTAGTGATAGTGAGGAGGTTTCTGCAGTTATTGCTCAGCACTCTTTGCCCCAACAAAGACTTATGGTTCCTAATGCAAACCAGACAGTAGCCGATCGTCCAGTAGCAGGGGGTGGGACAGTGTCGGTCAGTGTCAGATCTAGAAGGCCTGATGGACAGTGCACAGTAACTGAAGTTTAAATAAAATCTTCAGCTCCTTGCTTAAGGTTGAAATGGTTATCTGTAAATTTCTGCCCACATAACATTATGCTCATCCCTCGTAGTGCATTTGGGGAGTTGGGGTGGGATGGGGTATGGGAAGGACAGCTCTGAATTTAAATGTCTAACCTGTCTGTTGAGAAATTTATTTAATGTAAGGAGCTTGAGTGTTAATAGTTGAGAGCTGTTTAGTAATAACTGAGTTATCTTGAGGTCTGTTTTTAGATGTATGTGCTTTCTTTCTTTCTTTCTTTCTTTCTTTCTTTCTTTTTTTAAGTTTTAGGTTTTGTTTTTTGGCCAGTGTGTGTATTAACTGTGCATTAATGGTCGTCATCTGATTCGTTTATTTTTCTGCATGGATTGGCATCAAACTATTACTAAAATTTGGCACCATGAGATGTTTGATATGATGAGCAGGAAACTGAATATGAGAGTAGATACGAATTTGGAACTTTAAAATAGATGAATAACAGCCATTTTATAGTAAAGTTACTGAAAAATGGAAATGTAAAATAAAGCTAATCACTTATGTTTCATAATCTTTGTAACACATTTTATGGCATTTATTCCCATAAGCTTTGTTGTCTAGTCTTTGTAGTTTGAAATTTCTCTTGTTCTGCATTTTTCTTTTTAATTATAAGACTTATAATTTAATAAATACTAGAATTTATCAAAAGCATTTTGTCTCTGGTTTTAATCTAGAAGTTGGATGGAAATATATTGATGTTTGTGGCCAACTAAAAAATGGTTTAAATTGGTTATATACAAATTAAAACAGTCACCTACTCAGAAAAGTCTGATTTCCTCATACTTAAGCAGAATTTGCAGGCAGTATAAATGGGAGAAATGTGTGTGAGAATAAACCTAAAGCCTGTGATATGTAAACTTAGCAGATAACCAGTACCATAATTATTTATATTTTCCTCATCAGTCATTGTTATATTAGTCAAAAACTGGATTGCACACAGATCTACTTAAAAATACAATTAGTAGGAAAGAAGTCACTTAAAAAAGTACCATATGGCAGACCTCTTTTGGGGACAGTTTATTTTTATGGCTAAGTAGGAAATACTGTGTTAACATTGTAATCTTGATTTGTTTTAAATAAAGTAACATGAATTTTCTCTACAATATTTTCCTAGCAAAAAATACAATCATATTGATAAAACTTATACAGATAAATTCTAGTATAATTCTCAAATGTGAATTAAAGAGTTCCATAATAAAAACTGCAAATGAAAAATAGCCACTGCTTTTAAATTTCACCTCTATGATAAGTTAGAATTGTGACAACTCTATGATGTGTATTTCTTATTTTATTTGAAAAACTGAGTTACAGAAAGGAGAGAGAGATCCTCCATTTGCTGGTGTACTCCCAAACGGTCGCAGTGGTCATCGCTGAGAAAGCCCGAAGCCTGGGACCCCATCCAGGTCTCTCACATGAGTACAGGGTCTCACGGACTTTGAGCCTTCATCCGCTGCTGCTTCCCTAGGCCGTAAGTAGGAAGCTGGATTGGAAGTGGGGCAACAGGAACATGAACCAGAGCCTATTTGGGATACTGGTTTAGCAGGCAGAGCCTAATATGCTGTGCCATGGCACCAGTGCTATGACATTTTTTTAAAGATTTATTTATTTTTATTACAAAGGCAGATCTATAGGGAGAAGGAGAGACAAAGATCTTCCATCCGCAGGGTCATTCCCAAAGTGGCTGTAATGGGCAGAGCTGAGCCGATCCAAAGCCAGGAGTCAGGAGCTTCTTCTGGGTCTCCCACAAGGATGCAGGGTTTCAAGGCTTTGGGCCAGCCTCTGCTACTTTCCCAGGCCTTAGTCAGGGAGCTGGGTAGAAAGTGGTGCAAGCAGGGCATGAACTGGCACCTATGTGGGTTCCTGGAGCCTGCATGGTGAGGATTGAGCCACGAGGCTATTGTACCAGGCCCCCTATGACATCTACTTTTACTAAGGTATATTACCAACACAGTAATTTTAAAGCTTATGTAACTAGATTTATTATTCAAAGCTAGTTATATATATATATATATATATATAAGCTTTTTAAAAATTCAAATTGAAACCTGCTGCATAAAGCAAATGTATACTTCAGGATGCTTCATGAATGAGCCGTCAGGACACAGCAGCAATAGTACACATTACTAACTTAGGATTCTTGGAGCACAAATTACTGTGTGGTGTCAGCTGACTTTGCTTATCACAGCTTCCACTTTAAAATGGAAAACTCGTCATTGAAAGTAAGTAAGGCTCCAAATCCATTAGAGGATAGTGGGCCAAATCCTTTTTCAAAATGAAGGGCCATTTCCTGTGACTTAGTCCCTTTGCAAAAGGAAGGAAATGACAGCTATTATTTTCTTGTTCTCCAGTTTCTCCTCAATTTGATTCTTCACCTACAAGACTCTTATATTACCTTTCATAAATTATTTCCAGGTAAGCACACACAAATTTCATGATAATCACAGGAAAAGGTTTTGTGTTTAACAACTCACCTATAAACTAAGAACTATTATAGAATTTGACATGTAATCTCTAAGCCCCTAAGTGTTATACATATTAGCTGAATATCACATAGTATTTCTTAAATACCTAAATGAATTGATAGTGACAACTAGGCTACTGAGTACAGGCATTGAAAAATTATTTTAAAAGCTGATAGTGTGAAAGCAATTGGGCTGTTCATATTCAAAAGCATTTAGTGTCAAAGCATACTAATCATTACAGCTTTACTTAACAGTACATTCACATTTTAAACTAATTTTTAAATTTCTTTTTCCTGGCAATAGCCTCTAAATTTGCACTTCCACCCCACAGTGTTCCTAAAAGATCTCTTTCATTCTGTAATGCCTCTTCGAAATAAAGCTCTTTGCCTGAACAAACAGATTTCTTTAAAGCTCTAATTACTTCTGGTGGCCCACTGGTAAATTGTTTAAGCCACTCTTGTGCCTCTTCTAGAGATTTCACTTCATCTGAAGACTGCAGGACCTCTTCAACCATTCCTATATTTAAAGCTTTTTGTGAATCCAGTCTGAGGGCTCCACTTAACACTTTCAGAGCTTGTCTACTGCCAATTATTTGAACAAGCCGGGAAGTACCACCCCAGCTTGGTATTATGCCCATCTCCTTATGGACAAATCTGATCTCACTGTCTGGAGTCATTAACCTGCAAAAGAAGGGGGAAAAAAAAAGTTTATTGTAGATACACAAATATACTATAAGCAGCGTAATACCCATTTCATGATCTGATGAAAAATCATCTAAGATCTTTAGAGGTATATTTGTTTTAAGAAAATGTAGCTGGTATTGTGTCATAGTGGTTTAAGCACTGCTGGTTCAAGTCCAGGCTGCTCTACTTTCTATCCAGCTCCCTACTAATGTGTGTGGGAAAGCAGCTAAAGGTAGGAGTCCAAGTTTTGTCCCATGATCTGTGTCCCCAGGATGCACATAAGTTGGATCAGGAGCAAAAATGAGACTCAGTACCAGGCATCTCGAGCAGAGCCTGCCTCTGAAAACTTTAATAAACTTTCCCTGATCCCCAAAATAGCTATGTGAGATAAGTTAATATCTTCAATTTATAGATGAGAAATAGAGACAACAGACCCTAAGCAGAACTCTTGCATCCCCTGGATCATTCTCCAGATGACCACAATGGCCAGGGTAGGGCCAGGCTGAAGCCAGGAGATTCTTCCAGGTCTCCCATTTGGCTGGCAGCACCTTACACACTGGACCAACTTCTTTTGCTTCTCCCAGGCCATCAGCAGGGACTTGGACTACAAGTGGGACAGTTGTAGCTCAAACTTACACCCATATTGGGATGCTTGCACAGCAGTTGGTAGCTTTACCCAATATGCCAGATTCCAGCCCCAAAAGCCAGGATTTAAACCTAGGCTTTAAACCCAGCCCACGGTATGGGCTCCTTCTTAACCTCATGACTCAGACGTTTGGCTAGACAAGATGGAAGCAAGGATACCAGTAAGAAATTTGACAAGGATTTGTGCTATACTGATAGTGATTTTCTATAGTAGAAGTTCATTTTATCCAAATAGTTGCATTTTGATGGACAGAGTGATTAAAAAGCAATGTGGTACAATAAACAGGAGTTAATGTAAGAAAAAATATGTGGAAATAATGAAAGGTTTAATATTTGCTAGTTATATATTTGACAACTATCAATAGCCTAATATGTAACTTTACTGTTAAGGAACAATACCTCTATATTTGGACTGACTGCCTCAATAAGAAATTTTCATTATGTTAATTTAATTTGGATTAAAATGTCAGAATTTTAATTTTTAAGAAGAACCATGTCTTTCAAACTACTAAAATGATTTTTTTTTTTAGTTTTCTAAAATAAATGTTCAAATGCAGGCTGATTTCGTTTGTTATTACCACCAAAAAGAACTGAATTCTTTACCCCTTTAGTCAGGAGAAATACTCCAATAGAGTTTCTCACAGAAATCTTTTACTCATTGGGAAAATTTTACAAAGAAAAATGTGCTGCAATTCTGAACAAATGCTTCTAGTGACAAGCACAAAAATAGAAGCTCTCGTTGGATAATTTTTAAATGAGAAGGAGGAAAGAATAAGAATCTTGGTCCAAAATTGTTAGAGAATGGCCTTGTTACGATGAATAGAAAATAATATCAAATATTGAAGAACAGAATTTGCAGGTGGCATGTGTCATGGTGTTGGAGAGAAGAATATTTTTAAGATTAAATTGAATCCTGTAAAGCTTCTAATGAAATCCATTAAATCTGTCACTGTCTAAATTAACTACTGCATTGGACACTGATGTTGGCTTAAAGTTACGCCAACAAGGAAGAAAAGGATTGTGTCACGAATAAATGCATACAGGATCAACTGAACAGAATTTAAGACTTTAAAGACTTAATTTTGGTGTAACACAGGTGAGTTCGTACAACAAAGAGTGACTAAATGTACAACACATTAACCATGTTTACATTTGGGATTCTTGGCTTCTAAAGAGTCTCCAGCAATCCAGGATGGCTAAACAGGGTATAGCCACAATTTTAAACTGCCCTGGAATATGAAAAGACAAAGGAAAGAATACATTTTAAGAAGTCCAAATGATGACGATTTTTGGCTTGGAAGCAAAAACAAAATAAAAAATCCCAAAGAAAATTTAGTGGACACCAGGAGGAAGACAGAGACCCCAGTGCAGCAAGCCAGCAGGCAGAAAGCTGCTGGCTGTGAGCCACCATCTTACCATCTCAAGGTAGGAGGAAATCACTGCATCCCTCCACTCACAGAGAGGGAATACCACAGTCAACTGACTGTCTGAGCCACTGCTGGACTGCAGCAGGAAAGCTGAGTTGGTTAGCTTTCCTTCCCTTCCTCATCAGCAGAAAGCCACACAGCCTGTCTTTGTTCTCTTACCAGCATTGCAGTCAGGGTGATGTGTGGAGCAAAGAACACATCTCTACATCCTGAAACTGGAACTGTTTTAAGGATCACCCCCAGACCTATGTATCAAGTCTACAGAGGCCAGAGACTTGCCTTAGCTCCTGGAGGCTAACACCAGAAGCAGACCACCCTATGAGATCCGAGTAATAATCCCACCATGCCCTGTAACACTAAGACTATAACAGTTTTTCTAAATTTCTTGGTGCCACTGGATTTCACCCAGTTGGCAAAGAAGGTTCTACCTGCATGTACACTAGATGGGCTGACATCAACTTAGGGACACAGGAGACAGGAAGAAGCAAAATAGCATGACACCTTCAAAAGAACACAGTAATCTAGAATTACATCCTAAACTAAAAGAAATCTATGAAATGACACAGTAAAGACATGAGTAAATCAATGTGTGACATGAATGAAAATATTACTAAGAGAATTCATTAAGAAAAACAAAATAGAAATTTGGGAGATTAAATATTCAATTAGAGGAATAGAAAATAAAATTCAGAGTTTAACAGCAGAACAGAGCAAGTGGAAGAAAGAATTTCTGACCTCGAAGACAAGAATTATGAAATAGCCCAGACAAAAATAAAGATTAAAGAATGAAGAAAGTCTATGTGAAATATGGAGGTACCATTATTCAACCAAATATCCATATTATAGGTATTCCTGAGGGAAAAAAGGAAATAGTTGTTGAACACATGCTAAATGAAATAACAGTTGAACATTTCCCAGGTCTTGAGAGAGACATGGGACGCCAAGATACAGAAGCTCAAAGAACCCTGAGCAGATTCAACTAAGGAAGGTCTTCTCCAATGGGTACTTTCCTTGAATTGTCAAAAGTTAAAGGGGAGAATAATAAAGACAACTAAAAGCATCAAGTTACATACAAAAGAACCAGTTAGATTAACATCACATTTTTTAGCAGAAATTCAACAAGCTAGAATAGAGGAGGATGATATGTTCAAGGTTTTAAAAGAAAAACCCTGCCACTCAACATTATTACTTATCCTTTAAAAGTGAACAGAAATATTTTCCAGATAAGCAATAAAACAAACAAGCAAAAAAAACCCCCACAGAAACAAAAACCAAAAAGACAAAATTCACCACCAGACTAGCCTTACAAGATACAACAAAAGCAGTGTTAGGAGGGAAATTTATAGCATTAAGTACTAACATTAAAAAAATAATAACAGGAACGTCTTAAATGAAAGATTTAATAATACATCTTGAATACTTAGAAAAATAAGAAAAAAAGACAAACTAAACCTCAAGAAATGAATCAGAGCACAAATAAAAATTAAAAAAAAACAAAAAGTTGTTTTTTGAGAAGATAAATAGACATCTAGCCACGCTAACAAAGATAAAAACTCAAATAAAATTAGAAATGGAAGAGAATTACAGTAGATACCACTGATATACAAATAAAATCTACCATGAATAATGATATGCTAATACACTGAGAAACTGAAGACACAGATACTTTCTTTTATTCATATAACATACCATGATTACATCGGGAAGATATAGACAACAAAACAGATCCACAAAAAGCAATGAGATTGGGGTCCAGCGTGGTAACCTAGTGGCTAAAGTCCTTGCTTTGCACGTGCCAGGATCCCATCTGGGCGCCAGTTCGTGTCGCAGCAACCCTAATTCCCATCCAGTTCCCTGCTTGTGGCCTGGGAAAGCAGTTGAGGACACCCCAAGGTCTTTGGACCCTTGTAGCCCTGCGAGAGACCCAGAAGAGGTTCCTGGCTCCTGGCTTTGGATTGGCTCAGCTCTACCCATTGTGGCTGCTTGGGGAGTATTTTGGATGGAAGATCTCCCTCTCTGTCCTCCTCTGTATAATTCTGACTTTCCAATAAAAACATAAATAAAATAATTCAACAACAGAAAAACAACCAGTCCAACTGAGAAATGGGTAAAGAACTTAAAAAAAATACATATGGCCAACAAATATATGAAAAAGGGCTGAAAATCACTAGTCACCAGGGGAAATGCAAATCAAAACCATAGCGAGGTATCGTCTTGTCTCTCAGAATGTCAAAACTCCAAAACACAGAGTAACAAGTGCTGGAGAGGAGGTACAGAGAAGGAAACACACACTATTGCTGGGAATGTAAATTGGTGCAGCCACTGTAGCAGGCAATATGGAGATTTCTTAAAAAACTACATGGACTTGCCATATGACCCAGAGTCTACCCAAAAGATTCAAACCTAATGAATCAAAGTTACCTGCACCATCACATTTATAGCAGCAGCACTGTTCACAACAGCCAAAATTTAATCAGCCCTGTGGCCATCATCCAATGAATAAAGTGTGGTGTATTGACACACTGAAATGTCTTTCAGTTACAAAACAGAATGAAATTCTACCATTTGAAAAAAATTGCATTCCATTGGAGAACATCATGTTGAATGAAATCAGCCAGACCCAGAAGGAGAAATACTGCATGTTTTGTCTTACATATGGAAGCTAAAGTTTCAAAAACAATCATAGAAGAGAGGAATGTCTAAATGTACTAATATCACTACAAATAGTTCTGTAAAACATTGTTTTATACCTTTGTCAAACCAATGAATAAGAATGTTATACTACTGTATTTTTAATGAACTGTGATTACTTTAAAATTTACTGTTTGAGTGAAAAGGTCATTTTCCCATTCAATTAGTGCTTGTAGCCATGGTCTGTATTTCCATTGAACTAGCATCTTTTTGATTCATTAACCTCTTCATCTG